AGGATAGGGTCTGACAACTCCCTCATCTTAGAGCTCGCTTCTGTTGGCAATGGCATTAAGACGAGCTTCCAATTCTTCTATTTTGGCAGATTGGAGATTTTGTTTGTTCTTAGTCTCTCTTCCTTCATCAAAGGAAGATTCTAGGTTATGGGTTTCTTGGTCAGAAGCCGTATCGTCAACCACTTTTTCCTTCCCTTTGCTTGTGTGAGGTCGGGATAAAGACATTTTTCCTCTCCGGGAGGATTCTTGCCTAGGTGGTGAATCTATCTTCTGAGATTTGGTCTTGTCTACGACGATTTGATTCATCAGGGCCAAGAGTTCATTGATAGCCTCCTGCTGAGATTTGATCATGGCCTCCTGCTCATCAAGTCTCTTCGCGAGATCTTCATGGTTTTCCGTTATATAAGCGGAGCTCTCATGTTTAACAAAAGAGCTTGATGATTAAGACTCTACAATGGCTGAGTGTTCATCATCAGAATTAGTTCCTCTGGCTAACCTCCGATAGTTGATATGGGGAATGGCTCCTGTTCGCGTCCGAGTGCGTTGGTAGATTCCTTCAAACTCGTTAACGATTTCTCTGACGATCAGTGAATGACTTGTCTCAGAGTCATAGGAACTAGGACCTGAGGCTTTTCCTCTGTCGATCACATTGATAGTGACCCCAAGATACTCGATCTCTAGAGACTTCTTCCTGTGAGAACGTCATCGTTGGTTGGGCAAAGCAACGTTCATAAATTAGTCGAATACCAATAGTTTGGTCGCATATGAGCAGCATTGACATCCCGAGAGGACCGTAGGAATCAGTCGTTCACATTGGAATGAACGAATGACTTGTTGCATCGGTCTTCCTCTCGATATGAATTTTCTCAAATCTGTTGTGAAGATTTGAGGAGAATTACCCACTGCTCGTGAGGTTTGGATTGGAACCCCCAGTCCATGATTGGACAGGACTGGATCTTGGTAAACATGGATCTGGTTGAGATGCCTTGAATTCGTAGACTTTTTATATCCGCCCCTCAATCCAGTCACGCTATGCAGAGTATTCAGGGGTATCGCTGCCCGGTCAGCGAGCCGGGGGTCCGGGGGGTGGCGCGCCCCTGACCACAGGGTTCGGGGCAGCACCCCAAAACTCCACGGTAACACCAGGTTCTGTATTAGATTTCGTTACCCGAATGCGTGCCTGAGCTCCAGGTGTTGCTGGTGAAACGCGATCCTAAAGTATGTGTTTTGCTGATGAAACACAGTCTCGAGATCTACGTTTTGCTAATGAAACGCAGTCTTGAGATATGCGTTTTGCTGATGAAACGTAGTCTCGAGATCTACGTTTTACTAATGAAACGCAGTCTTGAGATCTGCGTTTTGCTGATGAAACGCAGTCCTGAAGTCTGCGTTTTGGTGATGAAACATAGTCTTAAGATCTGCATTTTGCTGATGAAACACAGTCTTGAGATCTACATTTTGCTGATGAAACGCACTCCTGAAGTCTGCGTTTTGGTGCTGAAACACATGCCTGAGAGTTTCGTTCAATTTGTAGAACACACTCTTAAGAGTAGCATTTTGGTTCTGGGACGCACTCATGAGAGTTGCGTTCTGCCAGATCAACGCAGTTTTGAGGTCTGCGTTTTGATATTGGAACGCGCCTCTGAGGGTTGTGTTTTATTTGAGAAACGCACCCATGAGGGCTGCGTTTAACTTGGTTTATGCAGAGCTCGTGTTGAGGCTCACAAACACGGAGCTCGCGTTGATTGGAGGATCAGCTTTTTTGGAGTTGTTCCGAAGCTAAGTCTTCTCCTTCAGAGAGGGGACTGTATGAACAGTGTAACCCCCAAGGGAGACAGTCCTTCGATGAGTCGGCCACAACTAGAGCTTTAGTCTTCTTAGAAACTTTGTGGATCTTACGCATAGTCTTAGGGTTAAGGGATCCGGAGGAGATGGCCTCCTCAAACTTGGCTTGATCGAACTCGATGATCAGAGTTTCAACGGTCATTCCAGTGAGCATGGTGTCGTATTGCACCACCACTTCTTCGTTAGAGAGCTAGTCCCTAGTGGAGTCACCATCTTTTGTTTGGTGAAAAATTTAAAGTAAAAAGATAATGAAAGAATTGAATGTTTTATTCTCTCAATCTTGATTATAATTTGGATTTCCTGATTACAAGAGAGAGGAGAATGATCTGTATTCTCCCCTTTGTTTAATTCTGGGTTCTTCACGGTAGCGATGGAGTGCCTCTCTTAAATTCTCACATCGAGTTTGCTCTTTGTTGACGATCCGAACGTCTTGATTCGCTGGAACGATATCTCTTCCTCACGATTTGACGCTATGGAGAACTTGCAAAGCAAGTTTTATAACTCTTGATGAGTTGATAACTCTGAACGAGTTTGAAACTCTATGAAAGAGTTGATTTAACCAAAAATCGGTTTGACAAGCCAAGACCGAAGGCTCCAAGGAACTTTGTCGCTGCAGGAAGCTCCAGCAATTCCCCTAAAAAGTCAGTCGAAGATCTCTTCTTTGTTGCCCAAGAAGAAGGATCAATCCCAGAGCCAAAAAATCCCCTGAACTCAATTGAGTTTCCCACTATTTATAGGGGATTAAGGGGTATAACTATCCCCTTTATTCGCTCCTAAGTGGGTCTGAATGGGGTGTAACCGCCCCCCTTAAACAGCTCCCCAAATCGTGAGGAGAACGGTTTTGAAACCGTCCAGTTCGTACTTTAAACGAGTCAAACGCTGAAAAATAGCGTTCAGGGACCGAACTCTGCGTTTTAGACTAAAAACGCAGAGTTGGGCCTATTTTGGTGGCTGAACGCACAGGTCGCGCTGCGTTGTAATTCTGAAACGCAGAGTTGAGACGCAAAGATGAACTCCGCGTTTTGGACCTGAGATATAGAATTGGGCTCTGCATGAACTCTGCATTTTGAACCTAAGACGCAGAGTTGGTCTTTGCATGAACTCTGCGTTTCTGAGTCCACGAACTCTGTGTCTGGACTTGAATGCTAGGGATGGCCCTTGCATTTTGACTCTGGAACATGGGTATGATCTCTGTGTTTTGATGATATAACACATGGATGACCTCTGCGTTTTGATGCTGAAACGCAGTGATGACTTCTGCATTTTGATGTGAAGAGACCATCAATTTATGGTCTCTTTAGCTGGAGGATTGCAAAGACCGTCATCTTGTAATCTTTATCTTGGCTCCTTGCAAATATAAGAGTCGTCAGATTGTAACTCCCGATGTTGATTATGAAGGCTGTTGATTAGAGCTTTCATCAGTTGTTGTGAAGATTGTCAGATTGTAACATTCATCGATCTATGTGAAAGTCTTTAAATTATAGCCTACTGGAAGTCGTTAGATTGTAACTTCCATCATCGGTGTTTGATGGGGGATCAGGTATGAATTATGATTTTTAGACAGCCTATAGAGACCACAACTAAAAGTTAATGTGAATATGAGTCAAACCATAACTAAAAGTTTAATGGGCATATTACAAGTAAATTTATATGCAATATTCCTTTTGCAAATTGAATGATCATCCATCTTTTGAAGACTTCAAAACACTAATAAATAGAGATGTTTTATTAGATCAACGTGTTTTTATAACTCACAGATAGTAGATCACGTGACCACAGTCTGGGTTAAAGAAAATAATGATAATATTTTATTTGAGAGAGATTGTTGAGTTGATGATCAAAACTTTATTTTCTTTTTTATTTTTATTCTATTTTTATCAATTTAAATAATTATGGTATTCAACCACGTGCATTGCATGTGCATCTCAACTAGTGTTGTTAAAAAATTCAAGACGTCTAGGAATCTTTATTTCTGTTTCTTGTATCACTTTGTTAAACGAAGTATAAATATGATAGCTCATCGTTGGCTATATTTGCTTTAAACCTCTCAAATTGTACTTCTTATGTGGGTAAAATCCCTGATCAGAATTCTTTTGTTAACCCATTGAATTCCTATAATAATATTTCTTCCAATTTAAAAAAAAAAGGCTTTTGTAATGTTGATATTCTCCACTTCTAAATAAAATTCAAAGATCCCCGCTCTTTCTTTATAATTGCTACCCAAAATAATAAAATGGATGAAGAGGGGGAAATCAAATATTTCCACTATTTTTAAAAGTTTGTGAAACAAACAAAAAAGATTGTACTTACTGTACTTTCTACATCATAATTTTTGAAGTAATTAAAAGCTATTTTCGTTGTCCCTGCTACATATTTTCCATGGTAAGTGAATATTTTATTGACCATAACCTTCCATGTTATTTAGAAAGTCGAATAAAAATGTGGCGACAGCAGGGTCCGCTGAGTATGTGTTTCGTAGGTTAGGTTTTGCAATTCAGAAAGGATTAGCGGTGCAACTTGTTGCCCGCTTGTCATCATCACATGTGTAATATTTTTATATTAGTTTATTTATACTTAATATAACTAACAAAATATTCTTCTGTAAATTGCATTATTATAAATTTTCACTAAAAAAATGCTGACCACCCCATATTTGAAATTTTAATTTTTGGATTCCCTTCCAAATCCACAAACAGGTCATCAATACAAAAGTCAAATTCATATATGATAAAAATGAGTAGACTATATCTCCTAATTAAATTCCTTAAGATTCTCTATGACACCCATTCGTATAAATATGTTACTCCATGCATCCCCTCCATATTCTTTCCTTATTTAATAGCATTAACCTCCTCTCATGTCCTATGCAGATCTACAACCGCATATAGATCTCCCCAATTAAATAGTCGTAATTATTTACCGTAAAATAAAATTTGGCACCAAATAAGATCGAAAGCCTGTCAGTTTCTCTTTTCGTGTGGGAAAAGGATTTGAGAGTTACCTCAACCTACACATCATAAAAGCAAGACCTCTCATTTGTCTTCTCTCTCCTTCTAAGTATTCTTTCCCCCCATTGGCTTCTCTCTCAATTCCTCAAGACTTCTCACTATTTCCTCTTTATGTGTGTATATATATATATATATATATATATATATATATATATATATACACACACCATTCTGCCTTTCTCAGTATCTCTCTAAGCGTAGTGCCCAAAGTCCAATATGGGATTTGGCTTGGGCTACTTTCACTTTGCTCTGCCTTTCGCCTTGCTCCTGGCATTGCCAACCAGGAGTATTCCTAATGGGAATGCAGATTGCGACCTTTACAACGGGAGATGGGTGTACGATGAAACTTATCCGATGTATGATGCCAGGACCTGTCCGTTTGTCCGAAGAGAATTCGATTGCCAAAAGTATGGTCGACCTGATAATATGTACCTCAAATATCGATGGCAGCCTAATGGCTGTGATCTCCCAAGGTAAGTTTGCGGAGTGAATTTATATATTTTATCTTATCCTAGTCTTGTAAGCTTTTTTTTGTTAGAAGAATGGCCATGCCTATATTTGTCGGTGCTGAACTCATGGCCAGCATTACTTTGCTCATAGGGGACCATATGTTTTTAATCATAAATTGCCAATATTGCTAACATGGTAAATTTTTATTATTTCCTTTTTGAAGGTTTGATGGGAGGAATTTTATGAGGAGATGGATTAGGAAGAAAATTCTGTTTGTGGGAGACTCGTTGACATTGAACCAATACGAGTCATTTTTGTGCATGTTGCACGCGGCTGTGCCTTATGCTCGGTTCAATTTCACCAAGACAGACACACTAACAACCGTTAGGTTTCAGGTTACTACGATTTTTTTATTTTTATTTTTTTTCATTTTTCATCGTCTCTACTAGTTATTATTTTATTTTAATTTGTTTATGGGTTTATAGTAGCCTCGTGTAGATTTGATTTTCGAATTTTAAAAAGGAGTAATTAGAGGGTGGTCCCTTGTGCAGTGAATTATTTCATGATTGGCTTGTGAGGTGTGACTTTGTCTGCAAGATTGTTTGGTTTATAGTAGGATGACATTCGAACTAACCAACTGCTATTAGTGTACAAGGTTTAATGTCCATGTTACAAGTTTGCTGGCTTTAGTGTCTTGTTTAATTTGTTAATGCTGGTGGCTTAGTATAAGTTTAATTACCCAAAAGAAAAGTACGCTTGTGCCCGTGCATCTCGCATGCCATTGTTTAGTTCTTGTTTTTGATTAAAAAAAAATTCAAAAGAGTAATGGCTTAGTATGTTCTTAATTTTTTATGCTGTTTGTTTTATGTATTATCAGATCTATATATCCAAAAACAAGAAATTTTAGCCCTAGCCTTCAAGAATTTATCTTTTTTTTTTTGCTTTGTAAACGAGTTCTTTTTTCTTTAACTAAAAATTAAAACTTTGTGAATAGGAAAAGAATCGTGTTAGCTCCAAGTACAATTAATTTTGACTTAGGAAAGTGCCAATTTACTTTATAAGGTTTTGTCAGATCTTGAGAATAAAACATTACGGAAAAAAGGGGACCAGTCTATGCAAAAGAACAAAAAAAAAAAAAGGATACGTGTTCAACTTAATTTACAATTTCATATGGGTTTGGCCAAGGTAGTAATTGTGCTGGTGTCAATGTCGGGTGAAAATTATAGGTTATTTTAGGAAACAATAGTCATGTTTTATAATTATGTTCCTTTTTTCCCCAAAAAACTAATTAAGATTGATGGTTAAAGATGCATTCTAATAAGAAGATAATATGTGGACAGTGTATGCGATGAAATAGTCTTTGATGAAAAATGCCTTAGGGACCCAAAAACATGGGACCCTACACGGGACGTGTGAGGTGTCGGCTCTCTGTCCCACGATGCACTGTTCATGAACAGTGCATCATGAGACAGAGGGCTGACACCATGAACAATGCATCATAGGACAGGAAGCCAATACCTCACATGTCCCATGTAGGGTCCCATGTTTTTGGGTCTGTGTAGCACCACCCATCTTTAATGTCTAAATGGTGTAAGAGTTATGCCAACGTGATCTTGTCCAATCCAATTGTGTGCAGCCAATGAAAAAAGTGAAATGTTATATAAAAGGTAAAAGGTAGTTAATATAAAATCTTTTGGACCATAAAAAGCATCTTTATCGTTCTGACATGTAGATTTAGCCATATGGCTAACTTTGATAGGGTTTCAAATGGTAGACACACAAATGACACGTGTGAGACTCGAAAACCCTTTTGTTTCTTCCGAACAACTCAACAAAGAGATCCTCGTTGAGCTGTTTGGCGCTTTCTGTTGCCAATCTCCTCATAGTGGCCCACAATCACATGAACAAATTCATATAAATACAAGCCTCTACAAATGAGGGCATGCATTTAGAGACATTGTATGGATCTTGGCGGTGATTTGTGAATGTCACATGCATACACTAGCAATGAGTTGGAATTAAGTGTCATTTGCTCAGGTTCTCAGAAATTTCCATGCATCTTCTCTCGTGCCCGGATACATTTTAAAGAGCGCTAGCTGTAGAATATGGGAATTGAATGCCTCGTCTGCACAAATCTTAGTTGAGCAAACATTCTCATATGGAGCTTGGCTCGAGACGTCTCTTATTAATAAGAAAGTTTGATTTGGAAAATGGGTTTCTTCAAATGGAAGTTATGATCTAATCTTAAAATTTAAGACGTATTGTGTAGTTGGATAATTACAACACTCTCTAAACCATTCCTACACTACTAGCTAGAGACAAAAATGTAGCGTCCTGCTAGTTGGATTACTATTATATAAAATGATATGTCATCATGGATCCCGAAATCTTTAGGTGTAGTAGTTTAAGAGCAGTTTGAAAATGTAGTCTAGTTATCACTATTCATTACGTATCCCAAAATCTTTAGGTGTACTAATGTAGGAGCAGTTTGAAACATAGTCTAGTTATCACTACTCAGTGTTTTTAGTATCCGTGGAGGATTTTGAGACAATTCTGTTGGGAATTTAAACGCCTAAATCCCTAATGCAACAAAAACGCAGAATAGAGAACAATACACAAGATTTACGAGGTTCGGCAACTGCCTACGTCCTCGGGAGCCACGAATAGAGAACAATACACAAGATTTACGAGGTTCGGCAACTGCCTACGTCCTCGGGAGCCACACAGTCAATTTCTTATTTAATCTAACAAGAAATTACAAATCAAGAGAAAATCTCTAAACTGAGATTCCTCAAATGAACACTGTAGCTACAATGTTAATACCCACAATAAAACCCCCTCTTCACTTTTCTCTCTCTTCTTAAATCCTCTTTCAAAACACTGTTGAAAAGCTGGGATTAAATGGAAAATCGCTGCTGCGATTTTAGGAGATGAACACTGCTGCGTTAAAGAGGAATCGCCGCCAGAGAAAATGTCGGGGAGAAGGAGCAGCAACCCTAGGGCATCAAAGGGGGGCCTTTTATAGGCAAGATTGATGGGCTAGCGACAGCCTGTCGCCAGCGACGCAGCGGACGCGATAGTCGGAGGCCAAACGCGGGGGTCGGAGGGCCATAACACCGAAGGTCGCGTTCGCCAAACGAGGGTCGCGTTCGCTAAAGCCACCATTGCGTTCGCCAATCGAGCTCAACTGCTCGAGCTTCACCTGAAGTTCGTCGCCCACGCTCGCCTGCAACATCCTGGAGCTCGTCGGAGCTCCTCCGCCGGCGGAGGTTGGTATCCACCCCCAACCTAATAATCTCCCACTTGGAGACCAAACCGACGTCAGCAGGCTATCCCATCAATATCCTTCCCCTGTGTGGCTCCGCCCTCATCATCTATGCATGAAGGCCAACTGAAGTTGCACACAACTCCAGTTTCTGAAAGGTCGTTGTCTTTGTCAACATATCCGCTGGTTTCTTTCTTCCTTGGATATTCTATTGAAATCCTTTGACAACTCGTCGGGCTCTGTATCTTCTAGAACCATTCTGCTCCCTTTTTACTCGATACACCCACTTTTTGTGACATGCCTTCTTCCCCATGGGCAACTTAGCTAGTTCACATGTCTCATTGGAGATCAGATATTTCATCTCTACTTTCGCAGCAAACTCCCACTTGCTCGCATCTCCACTCTGACAAGCTTCATCAAAGCTTTCAGACTCTCCTCCATTTGTCAGCAACATATAATTCATGTATCTGCTGTTAGGCACAGGAGGACGAGTAGTTCTCCTCAATATCGGAGCTGGTGCGTCGGGCTCCTGCGCACCGTTCGGTCCAATAGGCTCTTCTGGCTGAGGACCTTCTGCATTGGGTTCTTTTGAGAGGTTATCTGGGACATCATCTGCATCTACAAATGCTGACTCACTCTCTGAGTCACCGTCATCTGTCTTGTGCTTGTCCTTGTACATCACCTTCTCGTTGAATGTCACATCTCTGCACCTGATCACCTTCTTATTTTCGTTGTCCCAAATGCGGTAGCCGAACTCGTCTTCACCATACCCGATGAATGTGCATTTCTTAGACTTGGGATCAGGCTCATTCCTGCCTTGATCACTTATATGCACATAAGCTACACAACCGAAAACTTTGATATGTGAGAGGGTTACCTCCTTTTCGCACCATACCTCTTCTGGTATTTTGTGCTCCAATGGAACCGATGGACCTCGGTTGATCAAGTAAGCTGCTGTGTTGACTGCTTCTGCCCAGAACTGCTTCGGTAGGCCTGACTGCGTCCGAATGCTTCTGGCTCTTTCTGTCAACGTTCTATTCATGCGCTCAGTCACACCATTGTGCTGAGGCGTGTCGGGCACGGTCCTCTCCATTCTGATACCGTGCTCATAGCAGAACTTCTTGAATCTGGCGTCTTCATACTCACCACCATTGTCTGTTTTGAGTTTCTTTACCCTCAAACCGGTCTCATTCTCGGCCATAGCTTTCCATCTTCTGAAAGCCTCAAGCACTTCTGACTTTTTCTTCAGAAAGTAGACCCATACTTTCCGAGAGTAATCATCAATAAAAATTACGAAGTAGTGTTTCCCACCAATCGACGCGGTGGTTGTTGGTCCCTAAACATCCGAGTGAACGAGCTCTAGCTTCTGCTTCCTAGGGGTTCTGCTACTTGCCTGAAAGCTAACTCTCTTCTGCTTTCCAAGTATGCATTCTTCACACACATCAATCTCTACTGATTGTAAACCTGGGAGTTTTCTCTTTGTGTGCATAACCTTCATCCCCTTTTCACTCATATGACCGAGTCTCTGGTGCCACAGCTTTAAAGTCTCATTGCCTGCCGCAACTGAGATCGAACAACATGCACCTGCTGTCTCTGGCAATCATCATTGCGCCCTTCGAAATCCTCCAGTCATCGCCATGGAAAGTCATCGTGTAGCCTTCACTAGCCAGCTGGCTTACTGAGATTAAGTTCCTCTTCAGGTCGGGAATATACCTAACATCCTTCCGCTCCCATATTGACCCATTCAGCTTAATCTTCACTACACCTTTGCCAACAATGACACATGCTTGATCTTCACCAAGATATACATTTCCAAGGTTTCCGGGGATATACTTCTCGAGGAATTCTTTCTGAGAAGTAGCATGGAATGATGCTCCCGAGTCCAACACCCAAGACTCCTCCTTGCTCTCCAAAGAGCATATCAGCGCATCATCTCCTCCTGAGGTGGAGACAACGTTCACATTTGCATTTGCCTCCCACTCCTCCCGTGCACTCCTGCACTGATTCTTGTAGTGCCCGGTTTTCCCGCACTTCCAACACTCGATAGCCTTCGAACTGTTGGGATTTCTGGATTTGGATCTCCTATCATCTGATCCATTTCCTCTGGTTGAACTTCTACCTCTTGACTCTGTATGCAATACTGAAGAGGTTGTAGCTTCACCCGACTCTCTCCGTCGGATCTCCTCACTTAGAACCAGATCACGAACGTCGTCAAACTTTAACTTTTTCTTTCCCGACGAGCTACTCACTGCCGTGACTGTAGCGTTCCAACTTTCTGGTAGGGAAGACAAAAGGATCAACGCTCGAACTTCCTCATCAAACTCAATATCAACTGAACTCAATTGGGTCGTGACTGTATTGAGTTCATTGAGATGATGTGCTACCGATGTACCTTCCGCCATTCGCAGATTGAACAACCGCCTCATCAAATGGACTTTATTTGAGGCTGATGGCTTCTCATACATATTTGAGAGTGCTGTCATAAGACCCGCCGTGGTCTTCTCCTTTGCAATGTTAAAAGAAACATTACGGGTTAACGTCAAACGAATAACCCCGAGGGCTTTTATGTCTAGAAGATTCCAATCTTCTTCCTTTATACCCTCCGGCTTCTTCCCCGAGAGAGGTTGATACAGATTTTTCTCTGATACCAGTTATTGGGAATTTAAACGCCTAAATCCCTAATGCAACAGAAACGCAGAATAGAGAACAATATACAAGATTTACGAGGTTCGGCAACTGCCTACGTCCTCGGGAGCCACACAGTCAATTTCGTATTTAATCTAACAAGAAATTACAAATCAAGAGCAAATCTCTAAACTGAGATTCCTCAAATGAACACTGTAGCTACAGTGTTAATACCCACAATAAAACCCCCTCTTCACTTTTCTCTCTCTTCTTAAATCCCCTTTCAAAACACTGTTGAAAAGCTGAGATTAAATGGAAAATCGCTGCTGCGATTTTAGGAGATGAACGCTACTACGTTAAAGAGGAATCGCCACCAGAGAAAATGTCGGGGAGAAGGAGCAGCAACACTAGGGCATCAAAGGGGGGCCTTTTATAGGCAAGATTGATGGGCTGGCGACAGCCTGTTGCCAGCGACGCAGCGGACGCGATAGTCGGAGGCCAAACGCGGGGGTCGGAGGGCCATAACACCGAGGGTCGCGTTCGCCAAACGAGGGTCGCGTTCGCCAAAGCCACCATCGCGTTCGCCAATCGAGCTCAACTGCTCGAGCTTCATCTGAAGATCGTCGCCCACGCTCGCCTGCAACATCCTGGAGCTCGTCGGAGCTCCTCCGTCGGCGGAGGTTGGTATCCACCCCCAACCTAACAAATTCATGTTGATCATCATAAATTTTAGTCAAGATACATAGAACTTTTGTAATTTCCTTAAAATTTGACTTTTCATCCATGATCCAAAGTTAACTTACACTAAACAACCGTAAATTATGGCGTTGTTTTTCATGTATCGCATTGAGATATACGTGTAATGAACCGCAATGGAGAAGTAGAAAAAAAAAAAAAGAAGCAGGACTTAAATTCTTGAGCCTGTGAAAACTATTACCTTATGCTTTCGGAATAAAGTCTTTTCTACCCGATATTTTTAACTATCTCACTTTAATGTCTAATAGACATATTCTAATCAGTTATATACATGTCTTCTATATATCTAGCCTGCAATTTCTTCCTATATATATTTTGCCTTGACATAGCGGAATCTTGCAGGACTACAAGCTCACCGTAACATATTATTTGTCACACTATCTTGTGGATATCGTTGGGCAGAAGATCGGACGTGTATTAGAGCTCGACTCAATGCAAAGTGGGCGATTTTGGCTCGACGCGCACTTGCTCATCTTCAATACTTACCACTGGTGGAGTACAAGAGGCGCTTCTCAACCGTAATAGACTAAACTTATATTTTTATTTTTTATCATCAAGACAGCAACAAGAACGTTAACTACATGAATTTTATTCTTACGTTCCCTTCTACTAAGGGATATCTCTCGTACTAAGTTAAGCGATATTGGTCTTTTCTTAATTGCGTACAAGTTACAAACAACTCTTAAGAGAGTCAAATCTATTACTCCTTACTCTACTAGCAATAATATTTTCACTTTTTCTAATCGGCGACAATGTTCTCCATTAATTATATATGCTTGGACAAGACATCTTAGTTGATTTTCTCTGATTTTATCCTCTATATATAGAGCCAATCTTTAATTTACGATGAATACATTCATTTTTTTTACCTAATTCATAGTGTATATCAGCACCTCTACTTAAACATTCTCATTTCTATTATTTTAAGTTTTTTAGTTTGTTTTTTTTATTACGCAATTATGTGATCTATAAAACATTGCGAGTTTATAACCCTATAAAAAAATTTCCTCCAATTTCTGAATATACTAATTTGCATTTGCATTGCAGATGGGACTATGTGCAAGATGGAGATCAGATAATGAAAGACATGAACCGGACGCTGGCCATGTCTAAGGCACTAGTTACGTGGGCCAATTGGGTGGACTTAAATGTAAATCCAGCCATCACCAAGGTCTTCTTCCAAGGTCTCTCTCCATCACATTACCAGTAAGTACGAACTCTTGGCTATCTACTTGCGTCTGTCGTTTAGACAGCCAATTGTGCACTTAACAAAGACCCGTAGTAATTAATTCTCCATGTTGTTGAATTTGGCTAGTCCGTTATTGTCAGTATATTGGATAAACAATATGATACGTTGCAAAACTTGAGAGTATGTATATACATCTGGTTTATATATGGATACTCACTTCCAATTCATGCTGATGTCACATAACTTTTGTCAAGGACGATATAGGAGTGAAAACAGAACTTTATCCCATGATTTTGGAGTCAGCTACTCATATCCTATTCTTTCTTTTAGTTATTTTTAAGAGCTATTTGCTCTAGCAATTTAATCATTTTCATGTTCTCTTTACCTGCTTTGGTCAAAATTTTCAGGACTATCTGTAATCCTTTTTATCTTTTTAATTAATACCTTATCACGTCCTAATTTACTGGCACCAAACAGATTCGTAAATAATTTCAATTGATCCTTCCTTAGTTTATCCATATAAGAGCAACTGTAACTTTTATGGATATACTAATTTTTATTCTATCATTGTCTATTCTCATTTCTGCTACACTTATTTTCTTTGCACGATATTTCTTAACCATCCAAACGCTAACCTTATTACCTTTATTTCTGATGAAATTCTGTAAAACAGTGGAGAGAACTGGGGCGAATCGCCACAGAGAACTTGCTCGGGACAAACAAAACCACTAGACGGGTCCCGATATCCAGCCGGTCCACTTCCAGAGCAAGCCGTGGTGAAGAATGTACTGAGCAGCATGTCAAAGCCAGTTTCACTACTTGATATCACGTTGCTCTCTCAGCTAAGGATAGATGCTCATCCCTCAAAGTACAATGGAGTCAAATTTCCAAATGACTGTAGTCATTGGTGCCTCCCTGGACTTCCTGATACTTGGAATCAGCTCCTCTATGCATCTCTCATCTGATTTTGGTGAAGATGTCAAAGAAAAAGAATAAAAGATAGAAGATAAAGAAAAGTTTATAGATAATTGGTGATTATATTCATTGTGTGACAAAGGCGAGAGACATATCATTCAAGATTTTTTTTAGTGGACTTACTGCAGTGAATAATAATGAAAGATCGAAGGGGAATAAAGTTGAAATTTTATACAGAGTCCAAGTATATAACTTGTGCTATGGAGATCATATGGATATTTTTGGGCTTAACAATGAATAGAATAATTTCAGAGCTCATATACATGTGGGACCTGTTCTCTGTCCAAACTAACTAATAACATGTCTAATAGAATCCATCGTGCATGTGGAAAACATTCCTAAACTTTCTATGTGGCTTGTGGGAAAAATAAAATCAAGAGACCATCTTCTATCCGCAATTTGTTATTCTTTTTTCATGTAAAGCTTAACAGGTACGCCTCCTTCAGCATCTTTAAAGAACAATTTAATTTGAGGGTATGTGTCCTGAACGATTAGGGTTGTTTTTGGAAGACAGGGGTAGTCTTAAAAAAATTATGTACCTACAATAAATAAATGAACACTCTTCCTTAAGCAATGGCAAGGACAAGTGTATATATAACTAATACGATAATCTTTTCACATTAAAAGGGCAAATTAGATTAACCACCAATAACTAACAGTGTTGTGCAGTAAACTCTACAAGAAACCGGAAAGCTCACGTCGTTATTCACCTAACGTGCGGTCAAATGGGCAAAAGACCTTTAATTGATTTTCACAGAAAACCCCCAATAAGTTTAAAATTTTTGATACTTAACTACTAGATAAAAAAACTATAACCTTTTTATCTTAAACAAAATCTAAAAATTTACAAACAAACCATGAAAAAAATCACATATTACAAAGATCACCCAAAAGTATCCTAAAAAATTACTATAAAACCCAGAAAAATAAAAAATTACAATAAAACCAATAAAATCTAAAACTGCCAAATAACTGCTGAAAATTTTAAAAATTGCAAACATCTCTTAGGATTCAAAAATTGTGAAAAGCACCTTAAAAATCTACAAACTACAAAGAGCCTCTAAAAATAAAAATCATAAAATTTTTTGAAACATCTCAAGCTGCTAAATTCCCTAGAAAAATCAAAAATTAGAAAATATCCATTTAAAATTTTGAAAATTACAAATATTCCTCTAAAAATCCCAAAATTTTAGAAACCCCCTAAATGATTTGAAATTAAACATATCCCCCAAAAATATGAAAATTGTAAAAATCTCGTTAATACTGAAATATTACTAAGCACACCCTGGAAAATCTAAAAACTACATAGAGCCCCAAAAAAATTCAGGAATTGCAAAAACACCACTTAAAAAGTTGTCATTGCAAAAAAACTTAGATTGAAATGAAGTTTTCAAGCTTCTTAATATTGTTATGTTGTTCACTCACCCAAGATACAGACATTTACAATATGATACAATAAGAGTCCTAGCAAAATATCCTCAAACCCACTTGAGTTGGCCAAGCCCAACAGAGGCCTCGATCTCGCCGACTCACCAAGTCGACCTTCTTTCATGCTAACACGAAAGGCGGGATCAGTCGACCCTATCGCCGAGGACGACCCACTTAGGACACTCTACCACTCACTGGGCAATTCTTGGAGATGACTGGAGAAACATTCCCTGCTGTCGGCTAAGTTGAGGACTCGGCCCAGGCCTCAAGCCTCTCCCCCCAGAGCATATGTCAATATTTCAGTCCGTATTGGACAAACCTTATCCAGATTTTAGACTAATGATCTCCGGATTTGTCAGTTGCTCACGTGTCTCCATGACTTATCAATCACTTCCCGGGAAATGCGAAGACATCATCTCCCATCCGAAATAACTTCCCCTCCAGTTGCCAGTCGACACATGAAAAGCGATGGATGATTCAGTATGCCCACGTGCCTTCTGCCACGCTATCAATCACTTCCCAAAAAATACAGAGACACCCTCTCCCATGATGAAATGACTTCCCCTCAAGTCACCAGCCGACACATGTAAAGCAAAAGATGACTCACCTTCCAGCTCACACTTTATCACTGCCATTTTCATGGCTGAAAAGACCAATCTGTCATTGACGTCCTCTTTATATACAGATGTTATTCAACATAACTAGAGATTCATAATCTAAAAAACTCCCTAAAGCATATATGGCACAAAAACAAGAACACACAGTTCTTCATCTAGATAGAGGAGCTCACATAGATCCTCTAGGTAGAGACATTGCCACTTTAAGAACCACATTGGTTCCTGATCTTCCCCTTCCCCAATCGAGTTTCACTAACTTGACCGTTAGAGGAACCACAGGGGAACCGGTCCCCGCCCTTTCACGGGTTCATCATGTCTGTGCAGCATGGACATTAATCCCCCGTTCAAGAACTAGGTACAAAGTCGAAGAAGGAAGCCACCCCTCCATCACTCTCCCCTACCACGTCCCGGTGACGACTCAAGGGGGACCAATCCAGTTCTGGATCAGAACCAATCCCAACTTGGATCCAATTGGCTGTGTGATATTTAGCATCAATAGTTTGACGCTCACTGTGGGGCCCCCTTTTCTTTTTTGAGAAGACATACCAAGTTCTGAACAAGGGTTTGATTCTACCCACCCTGAAGAACAACATCGGAGTTGCATCATCCAAGCTAAATGAAGTCAGGAGTTGTACCATTCAAGCTAAAGAGGGTTAGATTTAGTTAAGAGGAACCAACATAGGGGTAGTCCTCGAAGGCCTTAGCGACTCTTCTGGGGAGTGTTTGCAAAGCACATCATCTGCTAGATGGTAGAATGACCTTCAGCCCCTCTAGAAACCCTCAAGAAGAAGACACACCATAAGGGTGATTGTCTTTCTTCAAAAGAAACACTAGCTTCTAATCGCCATCACAGAATAACTTTGGCCAGAACATAAGATCTGACCAGACCACATATCACTTAAGTTCCAACTGGCGATAGCTCATATGAGCATAGGAACAGTGATTAAGTCTGTGATAGGTGTAGGCGTCGAAAAATGCTTGCAGGCATCCAAATACCACTCAAAACAATATGGGAGAATAATTTACACGTCATCAGGCAACACAAGGTGGCGCGGTAGTCCATGGCGTCGCGTCTAAGGCGCGACAGCACATAGTGCCGCGGCTAATGCGCGACAGCACATAGTGCCGCGGCTAAGGCGCTGCAACCTAGGGTGTCGCGGCTATGTTAAAGGAGTGCTGTGGCGGTTACAAGGCAGTTATATGATAATTTTTTGAGGCCTACGTGGCAGCATATCAGAAATAGAACGTGTACTGACGTGGACAAGCAGTTAAACCACGAAAAAAGTGGTTAAAGGTCGTGGGAGAACGGTTTTAAGCACGATGGAACGTGCTGATAACCGTCTCTTTGGCCGCTACAAGCGAAAATCATGCCCACTAACCTCATAAAAAGATGGTATTTAAGTAGTGGGACGGCGGTTACAAAAGAGGGCTGATGAGAGAGTAGCCAAGAGGACTGATGAGAGAGCATTTTGGAGCAGAAGAGGCTTGAGCTTTCAGTGATTTTGAAGAAGAGAGAGAACTTTCACCCTTTGACAAGCATCATTCGGTGATTCCTAGAGATCTAAGCTCAGACTTGATCTTTGGAAGAACGGACATCTTACATCGATAAGATATTCGTTTTCAAATCTTTACTTCGATAAACGAAGGAGAGATCTCTAAGCACCATCACGATCTTTGAATCGGTGGTCAACGAGCCAAAGCACTCACGACATAGGCAAAGTCCCACAAAGCAGGAGTTGATAAACAATTTCTGTGTTATTTTCTCGAGAGTTGTAATTTTTGTTTAGTTTCATTGTAATTTCGTGTAAACAAATCAAAGTTTAATGGAATCGACAATGGAGTCAACTTTCGCTGAAAACAAACTGGCGACCACAGTGGGAGCCAGCGGCCTCGCTGCCGAGGCCGCAGTGTCGCAGCCGATCAAAATCATCGTCACTGAAGAGATCGAATACGAATTCGATCAAGCAAAATTTGAGGAGTACTTGTCATCCTCATCCTCAAAATCTTCCTCGTCCCGCAAGTGCAGGAAGATTTCTTCTTCAAAGAAAGTTTCCAAGTCTCCAATTCAGATGAAGACCGCAGATGAAGATTCTTGCCAAGTCATCGCCAAGGAATCTCTCTGCAACATCTCTGCTCCTAAGGACTCTGCACCAATTAAAGAGTCCTTAAATCATGGCCAGCCAATAATGACAAAGCGGGCTCGTCAAAGGCAACGCCAGCGCCGCGCTCGTCAATTGGCTAAGGCCATGCAACAAACCGACGGAGTCCATTACTATACGGACTTAAAGTCACCGACGGGGTCCATTACTATGCGGACCTAAAGTCGAGGAAACAAAAAGTGAACCAGTTGCCTCAACGGCAAACCAATCACATCTCTGCACAGCTTACGACGGAGGAATGGACTCTGGTCAAAAGAGCCCGTTCTACTCTCAAAGAGCGTATACAAAGGCGTCAAGCAAAGGCGGCTCGCGCTCGTGCCCTTCGTCAACAAGCGCAGAGGAACAAGAAGGAAGTGGTGTCTGAAAAGCCATCGAAGAACTGCAAAGCTTGGGTTCCAAAAAATGAAAATACCCAAAAATTACAGAGGAATGTAAACCTGAAAACTCCACACCCGCAAGGGGGTGGATTTAAACATTCAACTTTGGATCGCTCAGAGGCGACGACCAGTCGTCCTGTGCATGTTAACAAAGTTCAAAAGCGAAAGATAGGTTGCTCGAATCACAATAATGATGAGCTGTACTATCAGAAAGATAACTCAAGAAAGAGAGTTGTCAGAGAAAATGAGTCTCATTGCGCTTGCGAGAGACTCATTAAAGCAGTGTTGACAGAATGCGGATGCTCTAAGAATAATTCAACAAGAGTCTCCGTATTTCAAAGATTGTCCAATGAAGCGTCAAGACCCAAAACAAGACGTTTCAACAAAACGAAATCTGTAATCCGACAAGATGAGCTTCCTGAGGTCACTATCAACATGACCAATAAAGGAAAGCAAAAGTCAGTTAACTACGACCCTGATTTCTCTCCGGGAGGGAGAGTTGAGCGGGGTCTTTCTCAGAGAATGTCGCGGTTACAGAGACGAGCCAACCTACGTCGAGATTACAGAAGAATGCACGAGGGTTTATCTTCAGATG